TACCTCAGCAAAGATACTCAACGTTGTGCCAAAATGCACAGCGTAGTGAATGTGTTACCATGCCAAGCCAGGCTGTCACTTGTGGAACACGCTATGTGTGTTACATGCATGCCCTCACACTTTATTTCCAATTAAGTATTCACACCTAAGAGTATACTTTAACATTTTTACTTTTCCTCCTCTTGCAAATATTCAGACTACTTGTTCCGATATGTAGTTGGTTCAACACTGTTCTGCTTGTCCCTATTTTGAATAAATCACTTAAGGTAAAAATACCAGGTAAGATCTGGATGATATCCCAGCTAGCAAAAGGGGATGGAGTTTGAGTAGTTGGCAACTATTCCCTGCCGAGTGTAAAATAATACTGAAGGCCTTTGAACAGTGTTACTTATTGTGGTTGTTACAGTGTCTTATTGTGGTTAATGCTGATTTTTGAGAAACTAAGATCTGAGCTTGATATTAAATTTGACTTGGGAGCATACAGCTTTCATAAACAGTCATACTGTCCTTAAGTCTAAGTTTGCTTTTCAGAGTACCCCTTTTTTGCAGTATTAAATCTGAGCTGCCGGGGGATGTGTCTGTCCTTCCCAGCCGTAGAGAGGGTTTTAAGTAACAGCAGTTACCCCATGAATTTATCAATATTAAGTGTTAAAGGAAATAAAGAAGTATCAGTTCTGTTGGTACAGGCCTAAATCAAAGTAAACTAAACCGCAAATTACCAATGTTGAATAGCATGTGATTTTCTTATAGCGAAAAACCTGAAGAGAATTCAGAATGAAGGTTGACGTTTTTTGGCTGTAAGTTTTTTGCCAGTCTGAATCTCTATTTGTAGCCCTGTGGACATCCAGAACACAAACTAACCTTACTGAGGAGCTGGTTTGTTGTCACAAGAAAGTTGGGAAAAGCATTTCAGACTTTAGGATTTGTAAACTTCAACGATTTGTTAGGTTCTTACGTTGAATTTCATTTTGTAATGAACTGCATAAGAAAAAAGTTGTTGCAGGAATGAATTAATATAATTAGTCATGCTCCTTGCAAAAAATGGAGTAAATTAGCTCCCTTATTTGTTTTACTGTATTTTTCTTTGAAATTCCAAAATACCTCCCCTCGCCAATCTTTTTTGGACTCTGTCTAGAAACTGATTTTCAAAACCAAGGATATTTTTGCCTTAAGAACAGAATTTCTCAAACTATAAACATACCAATAAAGTTTGATTCCTTAAATTATCCTGTATAAATAAAATTAATGCATTGAAAAATTCCGAGGTCATAATTTTAATACTTTATAAAACTTCCAGCAATAAGGCTTGGTTGTGTAAATGCTGTCATTCTTAATTATGACATTGCAATATTTCCATCACTGGATATCAAAGGTGTATTAGCTCCATCAGGCTACAGTCTGTATTCATTTCGTGAGCAATTTAGCGGGCTTTATAGGATAAATGGGTGATTTTTTTTAAGGGGTAAGAAAGTGTGAGGATTGCTGTTTGGACGTAACTCTTAATTTCAAATGCACTGAAATGGAAGGTTTCTGGACATTTTACAGTGCTTTAACAAAATAGCAGCACTGTACACCTGTGAGAAGTCCAAAGTGAATGAAAACTTTGGATTGTTCAGGGGCTAATAGATTTTTTTTTTTTTTTTGGGTGCCTCTATCCTAAAAGTTATCACCTACAAAGTTGATTTATTGGAAGAACACTGCTGCGTGCTTTAGTATTAATATAAGAAGTTCTTAGCATCTGACCTTTAAAGACATTGAAGCATATTCCTTTTTTACTGATACTACTAAGAATTTATAGTTTTGAATGCAAATGCGAGCATTTGCGTAAGTCTCTTAAATTTGAGATTTAAGATTGAAACCTAAACCTTGAAATGTAATTTCTGAGGCTGGACCACCAAAGCAGTTCTTTGTCTACAGAATTAAAATAAAACATATAATAATAAAGTTAATGTATTAATCTTTTCAAACATAGGGCGTCTGAAAGATCCAGCGAGGGTTTCTCTATTTGTCTTTATTCTTTCAGCATCATTCACTCCTTGCCATGAAGCTGTAAAGCCCCTCTTTCATCTGCTTTCTCCTCCCCTGCAAGTAGTGCATTCAGATGAACACACAGCTATCTTAATGTGAGTCGCATTGCAAATTAGTTTGTTCCTTAAAATTTGAGTTTTGATTGGCCTTATCTTAACCTGTATGGTTCTTCTGTCTGCCAGTGGGATTGACACTGGTTTGTATGTGCACTTAATATTATGCCCATTAGACAGTGTCATTTTCCCGTTCCCGAACTTTATTAAATAGTGCTGCAGTTCCCTGGGATCCTGATGAAAGGCAAGTGGAAAATGAAGGCGTAAGTTCAGGTTCTTGTTATGCAAAAATTAAATCTTTAGTACACTATTACGCTTTTATTTACGACAGTTCCTATGCAAGCAGGGTCAAGAAATAACATGTCAATGAAGCACACAAATATTTGCACATTCCTGTTTTAGTGTGAAGTAGAATGCAATATTTAATTTGTAGTATTGTGCAATATCATTGCTACAGCTAAGTGTCCAGTGCTTTGTATAAATCCTTTTATTCAGGGTTTTGTAAGACTGTGGAAAGGTTTTTGTGTGGCTTAAACTTGGCATGGAAATGGCCTCCGTGTCTAATGTATTTTGAAATAAATTAAAAAATTGTTCTCAAGTTACCCATATTTCTCTTAAGTTCTTAATATTCAGCTTATTTAAGTAGAGCAGTTCCTAAAAGAAAACACAATAATAACCTAAACCAGTGATTTTTACCTTATAATTCGTGGACTCCTGTAGGTGTAGATTCAGTATACGCACAGTTTTGTAGATTTTACCTGAAAATCTTCAGAGAGAAGTTTGTTGTGTTTCTCGATCAATGACTTTTACTAAGTGATGTGAACAGGATTAAAATTTTTACTGGGCCTGTATGCTTAAAAATGCAAAAATTTATTTGGGCTTTAATAAATACCTGCAGTGATGCACTGAATTTCGATGATTCAGTGTTGCGGAAACACCATTCAGGTATTGTGCCAAACTGCATTAAATAATGAAACAGATAAGAAAGGAAGTTTCTTGAATTATATACGCTGGTTTTGAAAAAGAGCTGTAAATGGTCTACCGAAGATCCTGCATGTTCAATATCACGATCAATGGGTTTGAACAGTACATCCTATCTTTCTTTAAAAATATAAAAATCTCTTTTTTGGTGTCTCGTTGAAATTAAGGTAGTTTCCCTAATGTCACTGGTTGACTATCTTAGAACAATTCTGGGAACTAAATTTCAAGTGTTTGTGTGAGGACATGGCAAAGTAAATTATTGCAATGTAATTAGAGATATACTGGATTAATTACTTGATAGCTAAATGAAAAAACACATTTCTTTAAACATTAATAAGAAACTTTTAATAATTGAAAACTGTGATTTATTTTAATATTGAAGGAAGCATAATACAACATAGCATAAATATGTTTATTTTTACCTCTGTACATAAGGTATATGCACCCACTCATCACATGACAAGTGCATAGTACAGAACATCCATATGGAATTGCAGTCTTCCTGCTGGATAAGAGGAGAGAGAATTCTGGTGTGTTTTGGTGCTGCTAGGGTCGTTCTTCTCCTGGTTTTGCTTTACTTTCTCTCTTAAGCAAGGAGATGAAAATACTAGGCTTTCTTTTGTTTTATTCATGAGATACCAAAAAAAAAAAAGTTTTTAACCTCTTCAGTTGCTCTGGGCTCCCTCCTTCCCCTTATTACTGGCACAGTAACGGCTTGCCCTGAGTCTTCACCTCCGGTTATTCCACTTTCAACTTTGATCTGTGTGGGATTTTTCTTCTAAAGATTTGGTGTTTGCTGTAACTAAATTGGAAGCCTGTGTGAAAAATATGGAAAGCTGAGTCTGTGCCAAATTTTAGAGCTGGGTTTTTGCTCTGCTTGATAGCGAGGAATTGAATCCTTTTCCCTAACTTTATCTAATGGTTATGTACTGTATGTACTATTCTGTCCTTAAAAGGAACTGTGAAATAATATCATGGAGCTATAAAAGGTTTGGGGAGTCTGTCTGCATCAAATTTCTTCAGCTTCAGAAAAGAAACAAAAAGGATTTCCAAACTTTTCCTAACTACTAGTGTCAGCAATGTGGAGTGTGGTAGTTAAGCTTCGTTCTTTCTGGCTTGGGTGGTGGTATGAGTAATAAATGTAGTTAGGGTATAATTTGGCTTTAGGATACCCTCAACTGATAATACAAACTTTTTTCCCCAATAACCCATTTACTCAGGATACCATGCATCTTGACTAAGCAGAACTTGGTCTTGCAATTTGAAGTTAGCTAGGTGTTGTTCCTCTCTAAAAAATACTTACATTTTTTGGTTGTCAGTGTCCCAGTACATAGACTGTAACCTCAGAAGTTAATGTCAGCTTTGCTGTTGGAATAAATAAGCACGAATTGAGAAAGTTGAGACAGTGCAGGGTGCCAAACCTTAATTACCGAAGCTCCTCCAGGTTGTATTCTAAAGACTTGCCACCCTAATGGAAAGCTCCTGCACTTCTGTTCCCCAAGGGTGACTGCAAAGGTAAAAACCTCGCAAGCAATTACGGCCAGGCCAGTTTGCTGAGTAAGGCACCTTCCCCCGTTGCGGCAGAAGTGCTTTTGTCGGTAGCAATGTGTGGATGCATTGCTGAACTGATGGACCCAAACTGTAACAACTCTGGTACTCCTGATAGTAAGTTAAAATGTTCAGCTGGGCACTAAAGCCAAGCGGTTGCAAATGAGGAAAATTAGCTCGTTATCCTTGATAGGACAGAGGGATGGCTTATTTTCTGAAAAGGATCTTCAGTCGTTATTTTACCCTTGGCCGCTAACCTTGTGCTTAATGTAGAAATAACATAGATAAGTACCCACGTTAACATACTAATGAGTTGCCTGCCTTGAGTGATTTGTTGTGGCATCTAACTGCTTCTTCTCTTCCTTCCTTTTTGTCACCCTGCAGTGTTCTGTGCCAAGGTCTTTGTGGCTAGGCTGCTCCAACCTGGTAGAGAGCATGTGCGCACTGAGATGCCTGCAGAGCATGCCCAGTGTCAGATGTCTCCAGGTGCCTTTCTTCTTTCTTGTTGTAAATGTTATGCGTATGCTGTTGAACATTTGTTAAACTCTCAGGACTCTGTTTAATCAAACTGTTAAGTCTGCTAAATGTTTTTTGTGCATCCTTTTCTGAAATCTTCTACTTAACTGCATTGTAGGAGCGAATCTTAAGAGGGCTTTCTGTACAGTAGGCTCTTGCGGGGGGTGGTGAGCTTTTGTGTTTTATTGCCTGTTTACTGAAGTTGTGATATAAGTAGCATAGTTGTGCATGTTGCCTGCTACGTTTTGCTTTCTCATTTAATTTAAAAAAAATAACATAATGAGCTTTGCCATTTCTCTTAAATTGCAATGAACTTTCTAGCCTGTAATATTTGTGTGATTTAACTTAGAAGGGATAAGCTTTTTATTTTCTACTGATCCTGGTTATAGCCTTACATTACAGTCATTGCGCATGCTTGAATGCAGAATAGTTAGCATGGAGTCCTGGAGCTCTTTGGGTTACTCTGTTAAGTTAGCTTCTTAACTTTTTAAAAATGAAGAACAAGGGATGGGGAGCTTGCTCTGCATAGAAGACCACTAAATCTCAAGTTCTCTGTTGTTTTTCTTCTAGTAAGCTGTTGAAGCTGAGCCTGTGTAATTTGTAGATGGGGGAATTGCTGCTGTTTCTTCACTGGTTTGGGAGGGATTGAAAATGGAAAAAAAAGGGAGCTTTGATACCAGTTAACAATTTTGAACTCCTAGGATATTTACCTTGGAAAGAAAATGCAGAATATGTGTAGTAACTGTGTGGCACTTCCTAAAGTGTTTCTGACTGTAACGTTTTTACCAGAACATAACTATTATTTAATATTAGTAACTTTTATAACATTGTTCAGTCTTTCATGTGTACAAAGCGAATACTTAAATGAAATTGCTTTTGTGAATGAAAACTTAAACAAATTGAGTTTTGTTTGCAGTCAGTCCATTTGAGTTCAGACACTGGATAACATGAATGTCTTACCTTAGAGAGTAACCATTTATTTCAAAACCTCTCTTGCCTGCAAAATGTGGCCACTTGACTTCCAGCAAATTTGAGTTTCAGAATTAAAAATTTTTCAAAATTTCCGTTAAGATACAAACATGTTTTTCTGTTTGAATGCTTTATGTTTCTGATTTTGAAATACTATTCAAAGGGGGGAAAAAAACCCCATGACCAAGATAAACGTGTAGATGGGTAGTACAATTTTATAGAAATTGGCACTACCTCATGGCCAAATAATGGCTATAGTAGATGCTTATAGTCATGACAGGGCAAAGTCACAGAGGTTTGCATCTGACTTGGGAATATTTACAAGCTAGTTCTAATATAAGATCTTCCTGCTCTCTCTCCCTGATCCTCAGCATTCATCCCCTCACTGGAAAAGTAAAATAAAACTTTTTTCAGTGGGAATTCTGAAAATTTTTTCTCCTGGGACCTAACTTTTCAGTGGCCAAAGAGCATCTCAGAATTTTTCACCAAGCGATCATAGTTCTTTTTAAGATGGATAGTGATGTTGGGAGTAGGTTGGATGGAGTCTGGTGGGATGGGCCAGTAATCGTTTCAAGGTTTGTTAATGAACGCTGGTGAGGGATGTGAGCAGTGAGCTTGAAACAACTGCTGCTTTGCTGTCATGAGGCTGTTCTTCGGTGCAGACCTAGGATTGCAATCCTACACTTTCATACTTAATTTTTTTACCTCCTCTCTACCTGACTTTTGAATTTGTGACTTATGCCTAACTTTATTTAAGAGTTTGAGAACTATTTCAGGAGAGGAGCAGTTTTGCTGTTAATAACTGTCTTTTAAATGGTAGGTGTCGATCTTGGTTTCATGGACTACAAGCCTTGGCCAGGGCTAGCTGCTGGACTCTCACAGTGAATTTCAAAAAGACTTGTCAGGCTAGGGGGTTCCTTAACAAGCTCAGGTTCCCTACTGCAGGTAAGGCATGCATTTCTGCAAATACCTGGCTTGGGAATTGCAAGGACTCCTTGGTGACGAATCTGAGAATTTTGACTGCCCCAAGTTTCTTATAAATGAGCTCTTCGGAAGTTTCTCATCAGTTAGCACATCATGGCAAATTAACTGGTTTTTTTCCCCATCTGAACTTTTTATTAAAACAATATTACAAACAGAAAAATCTATATATTCAATTGACATAATAGTAAACCTATTTATTAGGAACCCTTTTTTTTCCTTTCTGTTACAGTATCTGTCAGTAGGTACATAGCCATTAACTGTAAATTGCACAGGTGAAAGCTCAGACCAGGCTGGGCGGTAGATTAATTGAATACATTGTATTACAAACTTCTGTTGATAATACTGATTACAGGATAAAATACAAAACAGTTTGTTCCTGAACGTACTGCTTTATACACAAGATTTTTGGAAACCTGTTATCACACAGATGTGGTGACATATATAATTAAAAACCATAGCTAATGCAGCTGTTAATGTCAGGACGTGACACTTTGAAGAATTTCTCAAACCTATATTGTTTTCAGGAATTGTTACAGATCTGTCAGCTTTCATGAAAACCACATTTGAAGTGTCAGTTAATTTGTGTAGGCTTTTTGCTCCATGTGCCTGTAGCAATTTAACAATCCCAGAACATTTTTAACTACATAATAGTAACAGCTAACAGGTTTAACAAATTTTAGTAAAAAAGTATATCACTGCAAGGACAACCACATTGTTTAAGCTGGTAGGATTGCTTTGGAGCGGTCGGGAGCTCAGTGTGTGGAAAGAAACAATTTTGTGTTCCAGCCTGTTGCGCCTCAGGAGTTACTGAGGAGGGATTTCACCAGGGCGTTGGGCCCCTCCGCGTGTTGCAGGGCTTGTGCTTTTCTGCGGGCTGCACCCTCCTGATGGGTTGTTCAGAGAATAAGATGGAAAACTGTCCTGAGCAGATACCTGTGGGGCACACTGCTTGGTAAGGAATAGAGAGCGCTTTGTTGATTTAAATTTTGGAACAAAATAAAGGCCTTTTTTTTTTTTTTTTTTTTTTAAAGTCTGATTTTTGTAGAACTGCAACCAGGAGTAAGAGGTTTTGAATCTTGTAGAAGCATCTGTGGGAGATACTTTAAAAAAAAAAAAAAAAAGGTTCTCCTTTCAGGCGTGTGACTCAGTGATGCCCGAAGGGGAACTTGGAAGTGAAAGTGGCACCAGCTGCTTTTCCCCACTTTTTATTTTTGGTACCATGACTTGCCCTTCATTGTTTCCTGAGCTACAAGCCCACATGTAAGAACAGGTAGGGCATATATACCAGGAGGTCTTCGTTCTATAGCACGCATTCAATTAGTGTAACAATGATAAATAGGAAGTTTAAGAAGGGAAATACAGCAGCTCTTCAGTGATTCACAAAAGTTATCTGGGAGTTGTATCTGTTATCTGTGTGTGTTGTATGTGTAGAGTAATTAGTGAATGGACCAGAAAGAGGGGGGAAAAACCCTAGTCTTAAATCGGAGCCTTGTAGAATTTCTTCAGGAAGCTCTTAGTCTTAGTGCTTTTTCAAACGTTTAGGCTTCAAGAGTAATCTACCATCAGTCTAAAAGAAGAAAGCAGAGATTAGGTTTACTCTTGCCTTTCCATAATGATGTTAGCAATCATAAAACCTAACTAGGCTCTTCTAAAATCAAGCTGTAACATTTAAGCAAATATCCTCTGATGCCAGTGGATTGGAAGTAGTGTTCCAATTCTCCACAATTAGTCTGGTTTTGTATTCTGTGCTTTTTCTCACGCAGTAAAATACCTTCATAGTTCCTGTAGTTTATTGGAGAAATATTTACTTTCTGCATTCTGTGAGCTGTTAGTGAATAGAGAAGAGAAATGATTTATTAAAAAGTATGTATTTCCGTTTGTGTTACTTGAAGTTTGCTCTCATCTATTCTGAGTTGCAGTGTAATTAATACCCTTCACACTTACTATCACTTGATATTGTTGCATTGAAAAGCATATATTAAATGGCAGTTCATAAAACCTGAAACTACTATAGATTCTGAGGCCTTATTTTTAACTACTTAATTATCTTTAATAATGGTTTTGTACCAAGGAGCTTACCATTATGAACACACTCGGATTCAAATAGCTATTGTTTTTATCCTCTTTGATACGGATTTGACTGCAAGATTAAATGCATGCTGGTCTCTTATTTAAGTGTTCAGAGAAACTGGTTCTATTACCAGTTGTGTAATGCAACCATATGGATACATCATCTTCCATAGCTTCATCCTCATGAAGCATTGCAGTGGTTTTGAACAAATTTTGCAATGCTGATCTGGGAAATAGCTCCAATAGCGCTGTCACGCAAAGAGAAACGTCCAGTGTTCTTAGTTCTGTAAGTAAACATCTCCAGTGTGAATTGAAGACTAATCATTAAGCCACAGAAGATAAGTACTCAAACGTCGCTTTGAATTATTGCGTAATGTAGGATGTGATGAAATAATGCTTGGGGAATAAATTATTAGATAGATGTAATGACATTAACCTAGTAACCAAATACTGCTCAACCAACTCTTTCTTCCTTGTATTGTTACACTTTTCCTTGACTTTTTTTTAGAGAGATCATCATATTTCTCTTCTAAAACTCTGCTTAGTTTTTTCTTGCTTATTTAAACCTCCCCCAACATGTTGGGTTTTTTCCTACACCTTCCCATTTATTGTCCTTAAGATTTTCAGCTTAATTGTATGTAGTGCCCTGCTCTTCCTTTGATGTTCATACGTGGGATATGTAGCTTGGAAGCTTTAACAAAGCACTGATTCCCTACAGGAACAATAAACTTCTCACTTCCAGAGCTTCCAGTGTAGAAGTTGACTTGTTCCTCCAGAGGCCAGGTCTTACAATTCATGTAGTGGCTTTCTCAGACTTGAAGCTACCCTGACTCCTCCCTGCCCGTTTGTCCAGTGGTCAGTAGGCTTGCGATAGTGCGCTTCACTTTACCTGTCCTTTATCCTTGACTTCTGCACAATGGGATGTCCAGCTCCATAGGTGTTCCTTC